GGCCGCGGCCCGGGAGCCGCGCGGTACCGGCAGGAGGCTTCTTGTCCCTTCGCCCGTGTCGTGGTTTAACCCAGCGGCTCGCTCGCTGCTCCCGGTGGGACGGGGGGGAGAACCGGAAGGGTAAAAGCGAGAAACTCGTGGGTTGAGGTAAAGACAGGTTAATAGGGAAAGCAAAAGCCGCGCACGCAAGCAAAGCCAACCAAGGAATTCGTTCCCTCCTTCCCATGGGCAGGCAGGTGTTCAGCCATCCCCAGGAAAGCAGGGCTCCATCACGCGTAACGGTTACTTGGGAAGACAAACGTCATCGCTCTGAATGTCCCCAGCTTTATATTGCTGAGCATGACGTCATTCGGTGTGGGATATCCCTGGGGTCAGCTGTCCCGGCTGTCGCCTGCCCCCCGAAAAGGCCTCGACTCTGTGTCAGCACTGCTCAGCAGTAACGAAACCATCCCTGTTACCAACACCGCTTCCAGCACAAATCCAAAACACAGCCCCGTACCAGCTACTGTGGAGAAAACCAGCTCTACCCCAGCCAGAACCAGCACAACCTGCTACCCTTCATTTTCTGCTTCCGCAGAGAGCTTTTTCCAAGGGAAAATAACCTCTTTTCTATCTTTTCTTTATCTTTTCTACCTTTTTTTAATTTGCCTTTGGGAGTAAAGAATTTCTCTCTGCTGTTGTCTAGAGCAGCCTGGACAGGCCCTGTGTTTCTGGCTTGTCCTCGCTTGCAGCTTCATGTCACATAGCCACGTGGGGAGGTGGCTTCGGAAAAAGACGCGGGAGGAAGACCCGCAGAAGCTGAAAGAAAATAATAAAAACATCGCTTTCACGGCCGCACTGAAAATCTCCTGTTCTTGACCTTTCCTGCCCGTACCCAGCCTACGCGGTAAGAAACGGGAGAGCTCTTGGTGCTTGTCAGGAAGAGACTTTGTTCAGTGCTTTGCCTTTAGGGACGCAAGAAATCCCTGATGGCAAGAAATCAATCCGCGTTCGCTAGCGAGCGATGGAGGCACGGCCAGAGTTGGACGGAGCCGCCTGAAAACGCCTGGGAAGGGGAACGGCGTAACCGGTTCCCGGTTCCCCACGCTCGGGAGCAGCTCCTTGCCCAGTCCAGCCTAGCTTGTTCGTTAAGAGAAATGACGTCAGGCCTAAACGTGGCCGTCGTCATTTGCGTTTCACGCGCCACCGCGCTGCGCTAGCCCGGGCTCGGGAGCGGGGTGCCTGTGGCCCCTCCGTGCCCACCAACAGCCCCCGCTCCCCCCTTCAGGAGAAACGATCGCCTCTGGAGAACGGGCCAAAAAACCAGCGGAGAGAGGGGAAATGGAGGCCGCTCCTTGAGGAACCTCGGCGGGCGGGGCCGCGCTGCTGAGGGGCCGGGCCGGCGGGGAGGAGGCCGCGCCCCGCCGCCGCCATGCCGAAGGGGGGGTCCCGCTCCCTCGTCTGGTCCGCCACCCGG